TTGTTCAGCAATTTATCTCAGTTTCCTCATTGTACTTTCTAGGAAATTTTTCTACTTTTTTACTAACCTGCCTCACCATCACCCATGATTTTTTCTAAACCTTTTTCAGCTATACTTTTAGCTCATACCACCTCTTAGAACTCCACAGACCTACACTCCATTGCTTGAAGTACATTCCTTTCTGTAAAAAATGACTCCTGTGATTCAAGAACTACCAGCCTTCTTGTACTGTCTTTCTTCTATGCTATGCTAACACCCAAAGATTAATTAATAAGACCATATTAATTTTATCCAGTTATATAACATGATATATTATTATCATATTCCCTTGCAATTCTAGGCTTATGAAAGTTCTATTTTTTAAGAAAACTTCTACCACTCCTATTCCAAGTTATTTTAATATCGTGAATGTTGTCTTGATATTCTCATATATGTTTCTTATATTAGCAAAGAAGTTTTTCTGTAGCTATTTGCACCTGAAATTTGGATCTCTAGAAATTGTTACTGCTGACATGGAAAAACAAGTAATAAATAAAAGTCCAAAAATGTTCAGGGAGGCTGAATTTAAAAAAATGAAAAGGATAAGGTCTGGTGTAGCTGTTCCATTTATTTCCACAATCTTGGCAATCAGTGCCAATGGCTGTGTGGTCGATTTTGCTGTTGTGATGTTGTGTGCTCTCCTGGCCATCCTCGACAGCTACTGACTGAGAGAGGTTATGATTGTAAAGTTAGCAAACATTGCATCGGTCAGAAATATATCACTAGTTATTAGCATGCTTTCCATGACACTTGAAAACCTAAGCAACTACTCTAATTCAGAACTAGTGAGTTGGTCAGGCTGTGTCACTTATGAGCTGGCAAAACAAATGGCCTGTTGAGGCATTAGCAAAAGGTAAAGGAAGAAGATCAAAGTCAATGTTCTTCAGCATGTGCCTTAGTCCATTTGGGCTGCTAAAACACAATACCACAGACTGGGTAGCTTAGAAACAGCAGAAAATTATTTCACAGTCCCAGAGGCTGGAAGTCTGGGATCAAGGTGAGGGTCCTCTTCTGGGTCACAAAATTCTGGCTATATGCTTATGTAGCAAAAATATTTAGGGATCCCTCTGGAGAGGGCTCTACCTTCCTCACTTTTAAGTACCCCTCACAGACCCCACATTCTAACACCATTATTTCTGGGGGTTAGGATCTGGACATAGGATTTTTGGAGGACACAAACATTCATATTACAGAGCTATATATAGAACAAACTCCTATTGGTGGCAGAGAGTAGGAGACCAGAGTAATAGGAGAATCTTACAGCTATGAGGTCCACTGAATGGTAAACCAGTAAAAATATAAAAATGGCCCTGGCTGGCATAGCTCAGTGGATTAAGTGTGGGCTGTGAACCAAAGGGTCACTGGTTCAATTCCAAGTCAGGGGACATGCCTGGGTTGGGGACCAGGTCACCAGTGAGGGCACGTGAGAGGCAACCATACATTAATATTTCTGTCCCTCTCTTTCTCTCTCCCTTCCCCTCTCTAAGAAATAAATAAGTAAATAATATGTTTTTTAAAATGGCCACACATTTCTTAGCAAGTTCCATGGGCTGCTGATCTATTGCAGAGGAACAAAATGCCATATTTGACCTTTAGCTCAACAAAATTAGTTTCTCTCTCTTCTGGGGGAAAGGAAGAATATAAGCAAAAAAAGCTCTCATTTTATAATCTAAGTCAATGCAAGAATGACTCCCTTAGAACTGAAAAGAATTAAGTGTTTGGGAAGTAAAGATACAGAACTCCAAAAAAGGCAATATTCTGAACTCGGTTCTCTGGCTTTATTAAAAGGTACATTATAAACTACTGCTTGAGTTGTCACTTTAAACGTCACATCACTGATGCAAGGAAGTCTGCTTTCAAACAGGTCTGAAGTGGAGATGAAAATCTGGGGGGCGAGGATCCTCTGTGAACCAGCTGGTGTGTGCAGCAGGCTTGGAACCAGTCAAGGATTTTCTTTAACCCAGAATAAGAATTTAATTTGCCAACTATATGTTTTTATTAATACAAAGAATGATTACATTTACAGAAAATGTAATTACATCCAACAGCATTAGAATAAATCTGTTTCCTAAATAATAAAGTGCCACCAATTAGAGAGCTCTTTTATTATTTGTTTTTTAGTCAAGGAGTAAAATTACATTAGGGCCATACTGATAGGACTTCTTGGTGTGGCTCAAATTTCTGTATCGAGTAACAAAGAGTAGACACGTTCATCTTAACAGGGTCTCCATTGTAACTAAAATACCCTTTGTTTTAAGCACGTGTTTATATGTCTGATTCTTAGCCTCAGCTTTGACCTTCTCAAGGGCCTTCAGAACCCTTCAAAGATCATGCATCGCCCAGCCTAGACCCTAATCACATAGCATAGAACTCATCTTTGTAGCAATTTAAATGACTATTTTCAGATTTGATATAGCCGAGAAAGCCCTTTATTCTCCCAGGATACCTGCAGGAAAATCACAGAAATACAATCTTAAGAGATTCATTCCACTGCAGAAGTCACTCTCCCTCAAGGTCGGCTTTGCAAAGGCTGCCACAGCCATCTACCAGGCAAAGATTGGTTCTGAAGTGGTGTTCGAGGAGTCAGCATTTCTGAAACTCCCAACGATATCTGAACGGAAGCTTTGGTTTCTCCAGTAATCACAGAGAGCTAGCTAGCTTTCCCTAGAGGGAAGAAAATAACCCTGGGGAAGTTACTTTTCTTTTTTATTGGCCATAATCACCTGTTAGGCTGATCAGAGCAGCAGGGGTTAGAGCACTAATGTGCACTGCTGGCCAGAAGCCAAAAATGAGCCTAGACATGCAGAACATGGATACAATGCATGATTTAGCAACATCTGTGGTTTAGAGAACTGGAAGCCCCCTTAGAAAGACAGCCATAAGGAACATACGCACACGGTGCCATGAGGTAACTGAATATCCTCCCTTGAGATTTTGTCCCCAGAGTCTAGCCAAATGAAGACGTTGACTTTTTTCTCAAGTCTCTAGCAACAAAAGGAGTCTTGGTGTGGAAGACAAGGCACAACAGGGAGGTAGTAGCCTGGGCAGTTGCTGAGTCCTCTAGAGCATGTGTGCGTAGCATATATGTGAACACATTGACTTGAGCCCTAATGCTTATGCTCTTAGTACACTAAAACTGTGACTTTAAAATATATAACAAACTAATTGGTTTTAAATCGAGTTACTAATATAACACACCAAAATATGCAATAATTACTGTGGGGATTCACCGTAAATTTTGATAGATTTGCAATTTGAGATAGATGAGTAGAAGCAGCCATAGTCCTGATGTTTTATGCCCTAACTTCGGTGAAATTATTTGAGATCATTAGGTTTATTGCTCATGTTTAAGTGTTCCAACACTTTTTCAACCCAAAGTTTTATTAATCTGATTAAAGTTTGAGTTTTAGATAAGCCAAATCCAGCTAGTACATGAAATGTCATTCCCAGAGTAATCACACATGGCTTCTTATTTTAGTCTGCATTTAACTGCAGTATGTCTTACCTAAATCCAGATACAAGTCGCATAACATAATGCAAAAGACTTCAGCCTAAATTCTCAAAGGAAGGTCATTTATCAGCATCTTTGAAATTAAAGAAACATTTAGTATGACAACTTGAACATATTAAAGAAGTAAAAGTAACATGCCTTTTGGCATGTTGAAAGTGTGATTGGCACATCTTTTTTACAATAAACATAGGCATTATTCAAGGAGAAGTTAATACCTGGTTGATATACTCATTATAGCAGAACTCATAATGACAGAGAAATTTTCTTGAAGGGGCCACTCAAAGAAGTTTACCAATCCTTCTGTGGTAGGAACATCACCCAGATCCACTGACCTGTACACTATTTATTTACTTAGTGTACCACTATGAAGTGCAACGTAGGATTCAAACATAAAGTATGTCCATGTAGCTGTGCCTTTTGAGGAATTTAAGGCAATTGACTTTATTTGGGTTGAAAAGACTTGTGTGCATCGAAACTGCTAGAGAGAACCATTCAAAAATCTTGGGGGGCTTTATAATCCCCCAACAATTTGGAAAGAAACATACAGAAAGAAAGGGAAGAGAGTCATGTAGGAGCATCAGAGAGAGAGAGAGAGGGGGTAGGACTGGGTCAGGCTCAAGTGAGGAGGAAGGGCCCTAGGGGGCAGAGATAAAAGGAGATGGTGACAGCTGAGTGTCCATTCAGGAGAAAAGTGAAGCAGGTGTGGGCGTGGTGAACCCTGGGCGCAGCAAAGCGCTACCAGCTGACCTAAGAGTGAGGGCCTCTGCTGGAGGTCTGCAGGGGGATTATTGGGTAGCCTGGGCAGAATCTGACAAAATTCAGCCCTATATTAAAGCCCAGAAAAGTTAAAAGACTTTCCCAGGAACATGCCTAAAATACGGCAGAGATGAGATTCAACTTCAAACACTATCCTCAATACCATACCCTGGCTGGGTTATGCAGGGCTGCAGTAGAGTGGTGTTGACCCTGAACTCAGAACCACCTTATCTCAGTCCTAGGGAAAACTTTAACAGGAGTTACTCAATAATATGATCTGCAATGGCCTAGACGCATCCCAGGCAGTTTATCTAGAAACCATCAGTTTGTGCTTTTCATGGGCTCTTTAGATTTAATTTATTTTGCTCTATTTTGACTCTAACAGATGAAATGCCATTGTTGTGGTGTGTTTCATTTTCTAGAATGCAAAACAATGTATAAATAGGGCAAGTATATATAAGCTCAGTTTTTTAAATAGTGCAAATAATCCCAGAAGAACAGTCTATAGCTGTCATATACCCTCTTCTGCCAATGTCTACTAATGAAAGAAAAATATAACTGCAATATTATCATACTCATATACTAACACGAGTGGTCACAACTGTCTATAAGTTGCCATTACAATCCCATCTAAGATAAAAATGGAAGTCACATTTATAATACACATTTACCTAGAATTTATTTTATTTTCCAGGCTCTTCAATGGCCAACAAGGAATTATTATTCAAAATTTTAGCACAAGATCCATTCTCACGGTTACCAATGTGACACAGGAGCACTTCGGCAACTATACCTGTGTGGCTGCCAACAAGTTGGGCACAACCAATGCGAGCCTGCCTCTCAACCGTAAGTAACAGTGTTGCCAAAATGCCCCCATGGGCTCCTTGGCTGCTCTTCATCAGTAGAGATAAAACATAACAGAGTATATATTCACTTTAGTGTTCAGCCTGATGTGACATGCTCCTTATACAGAGGAATTGGCCACAAATGATATGGGTGTTTAGTTTTTATAATCTACATAGAAGTATCCACATGATTAGAAAAAGTCTTAAAGCTGAGAGAAGAAAAAATGTATATGTAATAGAACCCACTGAAAAACATCTTCTGGATAAAGACCATTGATTTGGTGAGGGTTTGTCTTGTTTTGATTTATTTTTACAAATGTATTATATTATCTTCTTTCTATCAAGCAAATATTTGGTAAGTTTATTTTTTAATACATTTTATTAATTATGTGATTACAGTTATCCCACTTTTTCCTTTATTCCCCTCTGTCCTGTACATCCACTCTCACCAGCATCCCCCTCTCCCTTAGTTCATGTCCATGGGTCATGCATATAACTTCTTTGCCTTCTCCATTTCCTGTACTATTCTTAACCTCCCCCTGTCTATTTTGTACTTACTATTTATGCTTCTTATTCCCTGTACTTTTTCTCCCATTCTCCCTCCTTCTTCTCCCTGCTCATAATCTTCCAAACCCTTCATTTGATCTTCATTTCTGTGATTCTGCTCCTGTTGTAGTTGTTTGCTTAGTTATTTTTTTTATGTTCAGTTGTTGATGGTTGTGGGTTTGTTGTCATTTTACTGTTCATAGGTTTTTTTATCATCTTCATTTTCTTAGATAAGTCCCTTTAACATTTCATGTAATAAGGTCCTGGGGATCATGAACTTCTTTAACTGTACCTTATCTGGGAAGCATTTTATCTGCCCTTCCATTCCAAATAATACCTTTGCTGGATAGACTAATCTTGGATGTAGGTCCTCACCTTTCATGACTTTGAATACTTCTTTCCAGCCCCTTCTTGCCTGTAAGGTCTCTTTTGAGAAATTCGCTGATAGTCTTATGGGAACTCCTTGTAGGTAACTCTCCTTTTCTCTTGCTGCTTTTTAAGATTCTCTCCTTATCTTTAATCTTGGATAATGTAGTCATGATGTGCCTTGGTGTGTGCTTCCTTGCATCCTATTTTTTTGGGACTCTCTGAGCTTCCTGGACTTCCTGGAAGTCTATTTCCTTTTCCAGATTAGGGAATTTCTCCTTCATTATGTCTTCAAATAAGTTTTCAACTTCTTGCTCCTCTTCTTTTCCTTTTGGCATCCCTATGATTCAGATGTCAAAATGTTTAAAGTTGTTCTGGAGGTTCCTAAGCCTCTCCTCATGTTTTACTTTCTTTTTTTAAAAGATTTATTTATTTATTTATCTTTAGAGGGGAAGGAAAGGAAAGAGGGAAAGAAACATCAACGTATGGTTGCCTCTCATGTGTCCCCCACTGGGAACTGGCCTGCAACCCAGGCATGTGCCCTGAGTGGGAATAGAACCGCAATCCTCTGGTTCACAGGCTTGTGCTCAATCCACTGAGCTACACCAGCCAGGGCCTCCTTGTGTTTTTCAATTCTTGTTTCTTTATTCTCTTCTGGTTGGATGTTTATTTCTTCCTTCTGATCCAAATCATTGATTTAAGTCCCAGTTTCCTTCCCTTCACTTTTGGTCCCTTGTATATTTTTATTTACTTTACTTTTCATAGCCTTTACTTTTTCCTCTATTTTGCAACCATACTTAACTATTTCTATGAGCATTCTGCTTACCAAGTGTTTTGAACTCTGCATCTGATAGGTTGGCTATCTCTTCATCACTTAGTTCTGTTTTTGGAGCTTTGATCTGTTCTTTCATTTGGCTCACATTTTTTTGTCTCAGTGTGCCTGTTATATAGTAAGTGTCAGAGCCTTAATTGTTCACCAGCACTGGGCAACCCACATCACTGCACTGTGGTACTGTGTGTGGGGGAGGGGTTAGGTAGGGATCAATCCCATTTGCTTGGCTCTTGGCTGGCTTTTTAGACACAAATTGGGCCCTTCTTGTGCTGATTCCCAGGTGGGTGAGTTTGTGTACATTCTAGGACCTTGTGGGTCTCTCCAATAAACTCTCCTGTGAGGCTGGGAGTTTCTCCCACCACCACAACCCCCACAAGTTTGTAGAGCCAGAGGTTTTGAGGCTTTCTTTCCCCAGGCTAGAACCCTGGGTTATGTGGTCTGTCTCGCCCCCCAATTATTCCTCCTGGTTTATCCTCCTGCAAATGTGGGACCACCTGGTCCACCAGCCATTGCCTTGCTGGGCGTCCTTTCCACCTCAGCTGCCCATCTCTGCCCCTCCCACCCATCTGAATGAATGTTTCTTCTTTTACTCCTTGGTTGTTGGACTTCCATACAGCTTCATTTTCCTGGCAGTTCTGTTTATTTTTTGGTTTTGAATTTGTTGGTGTCTTTCTTTTGGTTGTGTTAGGAATCAAAGTATATCTACCTATACCTCCATCTTGGCCGCAAGTTATAAAATGTGTTATATTATCCTGAAACATGGATTAATTTGGGTTGAATTTACTCTCAATTGATTTTCTTTAGACACTCATCTTGGAATAGCAAGAATTCCACATGACATAAATAAAATAAAATTGTAAGTAAGTGGTCATGTACAAAAACATTTTATCCACACAGAGAACATTTTTACTCAAAACTATATTTTAGGATACAATTTTTTACTAAAATAAAGAATACATGTACAATGTACCTTAATTCCTAAGGACTAGAAATGAAAACAAGAAGATCCAACATAAGGATGAGTTGAGGGGAGAACAAACTATTGTAATGTTTCTTCTTGCAATTATTTTACTGCTTTTTAGGAGCTGAATCACCAGCAAAGTGTTATAAGCATTAAAAAGTCGTGATTTGGAAATGGAGTTTCTCAACATGTTTGTGACAGAGAATACACTGTCTTTTCAGTTTAACAAAGTTAGCTGAATTATCCTTATCTCATATACTTTTATAGAAACCTGGTGTGTGTGTGTGTATATATATGTGTGTGTGTGTGTATATATATATATATATATATATATATATACATATATATACTTATGCTATCATCCCAAGACCATAAGCTGTCTCTGAAGAACACAAATATTGTGGAGTTAATCACAGACATGATCATTTCCATTTTGCAGAAATGAGGATGGGATATATAATAGTCCTACTACTTAAAGTATACTATAATAAGAAGGTTTGTGATTTGTGAACTTTGAATTATCATGATTTAGAGACCTCTGATATTAAATAAAAGATAACAATTTCTTGTTAATAAAAATACATTTGAAGATGATTTGTTCTATATAAGCTTTTCAAACATCACCTAATTTGTTTTTTTCAGGTTAATATTACTTAATTTTTTTATTTCTTTTTTTGAGTATTATTGTTCAGTTACTGTTGTCCCGCCTTCTTCCCCACACTCTCCCCTGCCTCATCTCCACAAGTGGCAGTCAATCCACCCCATTGTCTGTGCCCTGAGTTCTCTATTTGTGTACTTATTTTTTTTTTTACTATCTCCATGCTGAAAGAAAAACATTGCTTACCACTCAATAGGCATATATACTTGCTTCAGTTTCTACCATGAGGATGATTTATTTAGTGTAATTATAAATAATATAAACCACTGAGAATACTATAGAGCAGTGTGAATTCTAATTTCATGTAAATATTGATCTTTAGCATGTTATTAATATTTTAAATGGTTTAAATATTCAAGAATCTGGAAGAATAACCGAATTTAAAAGGCAAAGTAAAGAAAAATTTAAGATTTAATAACACATTAAGTTTTTGGTTTTTAAACTTCTAAGTAACATTCTAATATTCAAAACTGAAGCATTAATGAATGCAACAAATGAGGAACAAATGTCACCTATTTAAGTGTGTCTAATACTCTGGCAACCTTAACACAATCATCTGGAAGAGAAGCACTGCTCAGAAGGCTTCTAGACATGGTACCTTCAGAATGGACTCCAATGGCTTCTCTCTCTCTTTGACACTGGCTTTCTGTTTGTAGAGGTGCTATGAAATGCCAGCGCAGTTTCATTTACTTGTTAATAAAGACACAATGTGTAACTATTGTCTATAATTATGAACATAGTTATGGAAATGTGAAAAAATATCCATATATAAGAACTTTTGCATGACTTCATCTGGAGATCTTATTGAATTAAACTTTTCTGTGTACAATAATTATTTTTATATATTTTTCATCCATTCACCAAATTATGTTTGCTAAGAACACGTACAAACAATATGTATCAGATATCAAATTTAAGTACATAAAAGGTGAAGGGGATCAATGTTTATCTGAAAACATATGCAAAAATAAGACTTGTGGCTGTTAAACATGTTTTTATGGTACTCTAAATCTCCTTGGAGGGGTACAGGCACCCAACACAGGCATAGCGAATCTTAAAACCATATGTGGGAAAAGGCAGCTTTCCTAAAATGCTTACAATGCTAGGTGGAGCAAAAACAATGTGTCCCTCGATAAGAACTCCTGTCATATCATCACAAGATCTATGAATGGGAGGGCTTCAACTTCTAAAGGGATCAAGACTAGAGGCCAGTCCAAGATGATCTAATACTGGCCTGTGGCCTGTGTGTGTGTGTGTATATATAAAATGGGTACTGAGGATCAACCCTTTCTATAGCATGTGGAGCAAATTTGTCCATCTTACCTAGGAGAAAGAAAGGAGACTCCAGAGTCTGTGCTAGTATATACATGGTAATGTTTGGAACATACTATGAAATCTTCATGCTTTCAGGGTTTGTATTTCTGAGTAGTTAATATGCTCAAAAACAGGATCATAAAAAAAGTGGGAGTTACCTAGCATAGTACTTATATGTAGCAAACACTCAAACTGGTTGATAATAGCATTTCAACAGAGCCTTAGACACCGGGGATCGGCTCCCCATCCATAGTTATTTAGGGTAAATCCTGAGGCTGTTAACAATCTACTCCCAGTTTTTAATAGCCTACATTTTCCAGATCA